CTTCAAAACTGGAATAATCATCGTAGCCACTTGAATAGTCAATTTGGGAAGACATTACTTGGAAAATGTTGAACAGGGACAAGGAAATAGGAAGCACTAAGACCCAAAAAAAATAAAATAATAATAATAAAATAAAATTAGAGAAATGAGGTGACAAAGTAAAGAGTGCTAAGCAGAGTAACGGAATACTTATAGATTCTAACTGGGTGATATAAGCCGTTAAAACGTAATAGCAATAATTATAACTGTTGAAAATGATTGGGTGGCTAATTGAATCCCAAGAGAAACTAGCCAAGTCACGCAGTCGGTAGACGCCCGAAAGATTCACAAGCCACTAACCAAGAAAAATATAAATAATGCCCATTTGCGCGCAAAAAAGCTATAGAGTTTTTCAACACATTTCCCAGGTTCCTCAAATGAGCAGGGCGAGAATAAGAACCCTCAGTAGTGTTTCCAATTATAATCCAATTATAACATAAGACAACCAAAGTCCTAGACTAATATAAAAAATAAAGCCGGGCTTGGGGAATTATTTGTTAACCCTTGAAATGAAATCCATGAACCTAGCTAGCTATTGGTGAAGTGAAAAGCGACATGCGAGGGGAACGAAAGATATAGAAGGTTTGCCTAAAGTTACGAACCATTTTTTTGTATTCAAGTTGGCTATAGGCTATTAATAAAGGACATATGGATAAATGAATAAAGCGTGATTTTCAACTTAATCTGTTAAAAGATAACCAACAAAAAGCTACCATGTGTCATTTTTCTAAAAAGACCAAACTATCCCAAAACTTGGAGGGAAATCTATAAATGCATCCTTATTTTAAAAAGAAAGGAATGCAATTTGAATATCTTCCTCTCAAATAATTATTTCTCTTCTTACTCATGTTTAAGCATCAAAACTAGTAAGTATAAGAAGTGAAAGTTGCAGCTAGGTGAATAAAATTTGTTGATTCAATTTCTATCATCAAAGTAACAATTTTACTTACATATTCATGAACAAGTCAGTTTTAGCGATCGATATTAATAAATAGACCGAGGAGTTCTATGAAAATTATGGATTTGTGTAAATTAAGTGTTGCCACTTGATTATGGCTGTCTACCTGTTCCTTTTGATCCACTTCTCTGCTTCCAGTTTCATTTCAGGTTTGTGTATCTAAATCCATATATTTATTTATTTTAATATCTCAAAAACGTGTTAATATTGTAGTGTTCCTAATTTATTTAAGACATTATTAATGATGCAAATGGTATTTTTCAATCCCCAATTTTCACTAAGAGGAGGATCTTAATGATTTTAAACATAATTTCCTACCTTTTTTATTAAATAGTTTCTTTTTATATTCCTATTTTTTCTTGAAATTTGTGTTTTACATTGTCATCTTTAACTGTACAGTATTTTTTTTTTTTTTTTGGAATGTTGTTTTGGTCGAGATATAGATTTATTCTTGTGATGGTTACATTATCGAGATTAGATTTTTTTATTATTATTTTTTTAACGGAGGAATCCGTAACCACTATCTTTCAGGAGTGCACTGGGTAAACCCTCAAATTGACGTAATAGCATGTAAATCACGCCAACCAGATAAACTACACTAGGTAAGCCAGGTGGGACAGGCTCGACTAAGAAAGTATTGGTAGGGAGAATCGAACTCGTGACCAAAGATCTTCGCACTCACCTACTCTACCAGCTCGGCCATCCCATGAGGGGCATTGAGATTAGATTTTATTCTCAAGATCATTGCATCATAATTTTGAGCATTAACAACTTTTCATTGTTTACAAATTACACTAAATTGACTATTTTGCCCTTTTTTTTTCACGGCTTACCCAATTAACTTTAAGATCTACGACTATACTATCCTCACCAGCAAGAGCGAAGGGTCGCTATACTTTCCCCCTCTATGTTGTCCAACTTTTAGAGAATTTGCTTGTCCTTTTGCTGATGAACTGAACGACTCCTCCAATTCTTGCTTTACCTACTATGGGAGATATCCAGTTGGTATATTTTACCTTAGGTGTTGGGATTTAAATAAACTTCTGAAAGATTGCCCTAAAACACCATCATAATTTTAATCTTAACAACTGTTGGGAAAATATATTTGACACCCATGTATTATATTTAACAGATGGTAATAATTACATGAGTAGCAGCTAAATTTCAAGGATTTTTATGGCCGAGCTTGATACATTACTAATCTGATAGATGAAGTGATTGTTAGATATTTATACTAGATATATATAATGTGAATAGGTAAAGTGCCAAAGTGTAGAAAATGTGGCATTTGTGTGGAACGTTGGGGGTTTGGATCACTCCTTACGCAATTATTAAAAAGTCTATGCCTTGGGCTCTTGAGCTTCCTTAACTAAAATAATTTTTTTTTATTTATTTTTGAAATTATTTAATGGGTCAAACTAACCAGTATATTGTAACCGTTTTTTTAGCAACCCAATATAACAACCCACTACCCACAAAGTCATTAAATTTTGCATATTTTTCTGGATCATCGAAGAGATAGTTACATCCAGTTTGTCTAAATAAAATCATATCTCGTTTTGGCAAAAAGACACGTCAAAGAAAACAGAAAATCATCTAAATCGAAATATTATTTCTCATATTCTGAAATTTCTTTCTCGCGTTTTTACATATATTCTAGGATACACTTGAGAGTTTTGAGAAATCATTTGTGATTGCTGCACAAATGGTTTATAATTATTATATACTGGAAGTGATTGTCCATTGAAGTCGCACCAGTTATCGACGAGCAATTTCACTTTAGAATATCGTGCTGTCATGAGATTTGATCGGACAATAAGTTTTAATTTTGCATTTTACTGTTCTGCACGTTACTACAACTGATTATTTTTCCAACTGTGATTCCCATACATCTTTGCTTGAGTGAAGTTCATGAGCACATCCAAACACACCATTGGATGTGCCTGAATAGTATTACAAAGAATTTAGATTTTCGAGCTTATTACATCGATCTTTCCTAGTATATTCGGTATCTGAACATGATGAACTTGATGGAAAGGGTTTTGTAGCTGCCATATTATAATGTCCTAGAATCGATTCGTTATTGTAGTAGTAGTAACCTATACGGGAATTCAGATTACTAGGACTCCCTTATAGACATTTTAAATTATTTCTAAGATCTACTACGATATTTTTTCCACTTTGAAAAGATGATCTTCCCAATATATCGAATCAATGATTATGCTGTTAGTAATTCAAATAATATCCAAATCTAGATGTAAATATCCTAGATCAAAACAACACAAATCCTAGGATCAACATCATGCCAAATATTAGGATTCGCGGATTCAGATTATATACATGTATCCATTATGAACAATTGTCTACTGTTACGGAATTACTGTGACAATCGACCACGTACTGATGAACGTGGACAAGGGAAGTGGTTTGTGATCTTCCTCAACCAAATCGCCTTATTCATCAATGGGATAGTCGTTTCTCTTCTTGATGGAGAGAAGGGAAATTGTTATGTGATTTGGTATACTGAGGACCATAACCAAAATAATCTTTATATATTGCTTAATTAAGATTCCCATTATCCCCCAATTAGAACAATATATCCCGGTATCTACTCAATTATCCTATACCAATTTGAGTAGTTTATGGGCATACTAAATTAGACCACTTAATTTCAGCCCATTAAATTAAATTAAATAGCAAATATAATTGTTTTTTAATATGTTGCCAATTTTGAATTAGGAAAATCGTGGATTTTCCTAACATATGCTACTTGTAAATAAAAATGGTACATAAAAAAAATTACATAAAATGATTTGAAGGGAAAAGACTAGATGAAAAATGTGCCTATATTTTAAAATTGACAAATGATAGAGTGACATGTGGCATTATATAATTCATTATGTAAAACTAAATATACATGTAATAAGGTCCTTAAATCAATAACTCACCATAAAAATAATCTTCGATTTGGTAAGTCAATATTCCTTTGAAAGGATCCCCAGTATATTTTTCACAACTATAACACTTTTTTTCACCTTTTAATGATAACAATTCGAGATTCATTAAATAAATCGGAGAAATTAAAAAAAAAAAAAAAACTTTAGTGAATTGTGGATTCTTTCCAGGTTCTTTCGTAGTATGTTTGAACGTGTATGTATCTGAATTTAACCGACTTATTTTCCCTTATAATTTCCATCTATTGTAGAAGGTATTGAAAATATCTAAGTCAGTTAATTAATAGGAGACTTGTTACAAGTTGCTACTTATTAAATTTAGTTTTTGCATACTTGAAAAAGTATGTGAAAGTATTGGTTTCGATGCTAGAAGTCCTCTTTTAAAATCTCTTGGCAAATTATGTGCTGAGTTTTCAAAGATGGGGAGTGCTACATGTATATAATTGTCTACATAATGCATAATTACATGTGATTCTGGATCCAACCTTTAATTCAAATGTCACACTTTTACATCAACAACCGAATGATTGTCACATCATATTTTGAATAACATTATGTGTAATAATTATGTACATTTAGACTTTTCCTTTCATAGGTAGCTTAACAAACTTTATTCAAACACTTAAAATCCAGATTAGCAAAAATCATCCCTTTTCGTGAATTAATTCTCAAAATGGACTATGCCACCTCGTCGAAGGTTTTAGTCAGACACTAGAAAAAGGCATTAGCTCTAATGAGATCAATTCGCTCTTAATTCATGCAAATGATAAATCAATTCATGCATAAGACAAAACAAATTTCAAGAATTAAGCTGCATAAATTATAAATCTTGAGAACTAGATAGGTTAGTTAGCTAGTAATCTCGGAACATTCACAAAGAACCCCCTATGCATAAATTATAAATCTTGAGAACTAGATAGGTTAGTTAGCTACTAATCTCGGAACATTCACAAGGAACCCCCTACCAAGTAATACTAAACTGGAAACTGTCAATGATTACACAAATTGAAGTAGAGTTCAATTGCCCAAGATTACACGTAAAAAGACAAATGGCTAAAGATGCTAAGGTGCCTACCAAGGACAACAGGTAAGCGGAACGATTTGGAAAAAACAAAAGTCACACTTCAAGAATAGAAATAACGCATTCCACTTGCTACGACAGCCATTCTTCTCGAAACCTACGAATTTCCCATCTCATTTCCCTCAAAGAATTTAGAAGCATAAGTTTGAGAAACAGTTTGAGAACTTTCTCGAAATTTTTAGGAAACTACATGTAGGCTTTTTTGGCATAAAGAAACTGTAAACAGATGTGCTAGGTATTATGCCAAGGCTTACAAAATTCCCATCCAACAAAATGCTTAAAGAAACATTTAAAACATCTTTAAAAGTTCTCCTTCTAAATGCTGGCTAAAAAAGACTTAAACATGAACTAGAAATAGTATTATCATACTAGGAGCATTTTCAAGAGTCTCTTTATTTTTAATGAGCATATTTTGCAATTTAGAGAGCATTTATAAATTTAAAAGATTTTTTTTTAATTATTTCAACACTTTCTTAAATTTTAACACTTAAATTTACAACTCCCAATATGTGTTTGTTATTTTCACTATTTTCCAACCAAATTATTATATATTTTTTCCCCTTCATTTTCTTTTTATATGCTATTTAATTGGGTCAATATACGAAGAATTGAAAATTAAAATATTTTGAATATATTTAATTACAGAGAGTGAATTTGACTCTCTGAATTTGGAGAGTCAAATACTTAAACAATGTTAATGTGAAAAAAAAATTCGAGCATAATTTTTAAGGGTTAGCTCTTTCAAAAAGAGAGTATTTCACTTTTAAAAAATTTCTTTTAGACACCCTAAGTAAATTTCATCTTCTAGTAGTCTCTAAAGTTGATTACAAAAAAGTTGCAAACAGCGGCATCTAGTATGCTATTGTGTTAATCTTATATATCGTTTCATGGTACTAATCATGTAATACTTGAATTTCTTAGGTCCTCCTGCCCCTAGACTATCTAGTATTTCAAATTTTTTCTATATAGTGTTTCATCAAGTTTTGATGGAACAATGACTGCACTCAATGATATGGCGAAAGCCTCACTCACTACAGAAAAATATGGCTTAAGACACGGATTTTTCTCTCCTGAAATCACGATATCCTTCGTTATTACTCTTTACCAACTAAATATTAGCAATCACAAAACTATTGTTAATTTGAGGGTCGTTGATGGTTACCAAGTAAAGAGTAAACATTATTCCAATAAATTTTCCGTTGGTAAAGTATGAACATTTTACCAATGGAAATTCCATTAAAAATCTTAACCGGTATCAACCGACTTTCCGTTGGTAAATGTCTACCATTATAATTGGTAAAAATTCAATGTTGCAAATAATCGCATAGGTGCGAGACTTGGGCAAAAATAAATAATAATAAAAATAAAAATAATATTATATATTTACTCTTTTTATTATTGCTATTATTACTTTAATAATTATAAATTTTTAACTTTTATCCAACTGAATTGAAAAGACCACAATTAAACTAATTAATTTCAATTACTGCTAAATTTCTGAAGAATGATTTTCGTGATAGTGGGAGTTCTACATTGTGAGAACTTTTTGTTGAACCAAATCACATTGTTGTTCTAGTTCCTGTTACACAGGACAGAGTTGGTTCTCAGTCAGTTGACATTGTTAATGGAGAACCGAGAAACCAAAAGGAACTGCCAATTCTTCCAACAACAATTGGGTCGGTTTCTGAGCTACAAGTTAGGATATTGCAAAGGGAAAGGATATTTGCATTGCCCAGTGATTATATTATATATTTATTAAAGAGTGAATTTGACATTGGGCACATTGTTGATCATATAACTTATAATCAAGCATTGACAATTCTTGAGGCAGATAAATGGATAAATACTATGGAAGATGAAACGAATTCCATAAAACAGGATAAAGTTTGGAAACCTGTTGAATTTCTTCCAGATGCTAAAGCTATAGATAACAAATGGATCTTCAAAAGTAAATTGGATACAAAAGGAAATGTTAAACAAAAGAAAGCAAAATTGGTTGCAAAAGGTTTCACTTAGCGAGAAGGGATTGATTATGTTGAAACCTTCTCACTTGTTTCATCGAAAGATTCTTTTCAAATTATTAAGCGCTTGTGGCACACTATAATTTTAAGCTTCATCAGATAGATGATAAGACAACATTTTTGAATGAAAATCTTTCTGAAAAAGTTTACATGAGACAACCTAAAGATTTTGTTGTGAATAGAAAAGAAAACTTGGTGTGTAAGTTAAACAAATCATCGTATGGCCTCGAGTAAGTATCACGACTAGTTTTTCGAGGTTGTAACATCCATTGAATTTGTTGAAAATACAGTTGATCAATGCATTTATCTCAAAATTAGTGGAAGAAATTTTATTTTTCTTGTTCAATATGTTGATGATATTTTGCTTGCTAGCAGTAACTTGGGGTTGTTTCATGAGATAAAGAAAATACTGTCTGCTAATTTTCAGATGAAAGATCTTGGAGAAGCTTTTTATGTACTTGACATTGAAATATATCGTGATAGAAATCGTAGCTTGTTGGGACTTTCTCAAAAGGCTTATATACAATGTGTTCTAGAAATGTTTAATATGTAGAAATGTGCACCTGGTGATATACCTCTCATAAAAGGGGATAAGTTTAGCAAAACTCAAGGTTCAATGAATGAGCTAGAAAGGAAATCTATGAAGATGATTCCATATGCCAGTGTTGTGGGGAGCTTGATGTATCTCAAGTTTGCACTATATCGGATATAGCATACGCTGTCAGTGTCCTTAATAGGTTTCGATCGAATCCAGGACAAGAGCATTGAAAGCAGCTAAGAAAGTCATGAGATATTTGAAGAGGCTAAAGGTTATACGCTTACAATCCACCACTCAAATCATCTTAAGTTGGCAGGCTACTCGGATTCAGATTTTGCTGGATGTTAAGATGATTTGAAATCAACCTCAGGATATATTTTTACATTAGCTAATGGTGCTATCTCTTGGAAAAGTACTAAGCAGATTCTAGTGACATCTTTTACTCTGTAGGCTGAATTTGTAGCATGTTATGAGGCTACAGTCCAAGCCAGTTGGTTAAGAAATTTCATTTCTGGGTTGAAAGTCGCTGATTCCATCTCGAGACCAATCGCTAACTATTGTGATAATAGTGTAACGGTATTCTTTTCAAAAAATAACAAAAGTTCTAGTGGGTCAAAGCATATTGATAACAAATATTTGGTGGTTAGAGACGGAGCGAAGGAAGAGTCGACGAAAATAGAGCATATCAATACATAGGCAATTATTGCAGATCCTTTGACTAAGAGACTCATTCCAAAAGTCTTTAGGATACATGTTGCAAATTTGGCATTGTGGAAACATTGATCTTTTGGTTAGTAAGAGTTATTTTGTAAAAAAAAACTACGTTTTAACTTGATCCCTTCACGGGGTACGTGGACTACGCATACATTTTTTGAGTCCCTGTATTCAGATAAAAAAAATATTTTTCCCTATCCATGAATTATTTTGAGCATGCATTTGACTTGTGTCTTTTATTATGATATTATTGTAATCTCGATATATGATAGATAAAGACATAAGATGAGTCTCTTTTAGAGACTGTGGCTTCATTTTGATCTAAAGCATTATGAGGATCGATATGAATTAGCACAATTTTTTATCACATTTGGTGTTAAATTCATACAATATACTACCACATTGGTTGGAAGATGGGGATCCATGTCAATAAGGATGTTGGCATTTGTAGTTGTGAAATGGTCTTACATCGCTTAATTGGTGTAATGACTTCCATGTTCGGTGTTAACATTCTTATTGGACCGAATCATGTTGCATAAGGTATCATTATTGGAGCTATACTTTTGTGTCCACCTATGTTGTCTAACCTGAATGTTAAAAGTTTTGTTATAGCAATCAAATGCTTGCACAAGTGGGAGAATGTTGGAATAATTCTAATATGGGCCTCACATTTGATTATTTATTTTACAGGTTAGATGTATGACTCATAATGATATTATTGATTAAACCAAATTTGTTAAGTGATCAATTTGGTCTTTTACGCCTTACGGGTTGTATTTAATATAATGTGGTAATTTTAAGCATGTGGGCCGAAAATATTTGTAAACCCTAATTAGAGTTTAAGTCGTAATGGGAAGGCTTGATAATTTCCTACATAAAGGTTAGGTCCCCTCTCCTCTCCATATTATTTTAGTAGCTTGCCCCATTGACGACTAATATTTTGTGATAAGCAAGGAGTATAAGATCTAGTAGCTATTATTCATATCAACTATGGCTTCCGCAGGTATGAATTCGAACAATCAATTTATAATTATGTGATTCTTAATTCTTAGCATTACTATCATTAAATTCAACATTAAAAACCAACACATACCTTTCAGCTCGTGGGCGAGGCTTGCTTTTATATGTGTCCGATATGTAGCTTTTTCCGAGAGTTACTATAGAGAAATAAAAGCATGTATACTCAATTCAATCTCACCACATCTTGAGCATCATTTTTGAATAGGCATAAGCTTTCAAGCTAGATAGCAATAATGAGTAAGACTTATCCCAAACATGACCAATAAAAAAAGAAGATCATATTTTTAAAAGAAAAGAAATAATCTTCTTGGAAATATTTGAGAAATCAATATGGAAAATCCAATTAATTTAGATTCCTATAGGCTCCTACTTCCATTGAAATACAAGGATTCTACGACATTATAATATGACAATTGCAATATTCAGTCATTCAAGTGTATCACGTTCAGATACCAAACACACCAAGAAAAATATAAAAACACTCGAAAAAACAAGTTCTGCGTAAATTATGTTCACTAAAAAAAATAAAAAATAAAAGGTCTCAACACTAGAGTCATCCAAATATAATTTCTTCAAACCCATATGATACAAATGTTCGACCATAGAAATCCAAGAAATTAAAAGAGCCAATCACTCAATTGTTGAGTTTTTGATACCCAATAAATCTCTAACTATGATGTTAATGTGAGTTAATATTATTTCATAGGCATAGGCCGAAGAATGAAATAAGTCCACAACCAAATCCATGAGTTACACCCGACCCAATTATATTCTCTCTTGGAAGACTTGAATCTTGACCCGTTTACCTCTTCAAACGTCCAACTTAAGGCCTAACCCTTGAGTATATATATGGCTATAACTCTAGCCACTTTTTATGATGTTTTGTGTGGTTTTGAGAGAAAAAATAAGGAATCCCGGCTGCTTCCCTTTGTGTGTGAAAAATAGCATCTAGAAGTGTCCAAAATGCTTGTTTAACGTGTACAATTGGTGATTCCTTCATAGTATACTTTTGTGGTGTTTTCTCCTAACCTTTGTGGCCACAAAACATCATCTTTTCTTGTCCTACGTGGATAATATTGAATAGAAATCGAGATGAATCAATTGGTTGTGATTTGGAGTCGATTGGACTGGTTGTTGGTTGAGAACGGTGCATTCGATTGAGCCCGAAAGTCACCGATTTGAAGATCTTTCAAGAAAGCTTCCATGACATTTGGTATCAAAGCTTCAAGATGGTGGTTTTGGCTCTTGAAATATAGCAAAAAAAACTGTCCAGAAATCGGTAGAAACGAACTAGAAATCAGATCGAAAAAATTGTCAAAATCAGTCTCCATTTTTCACATTTTCTAATCAATCCAGAAGGATTTTTTGAAAATGCTGACGTGCAGATGGAGGCAAACTCTTCAGGGCACCGCGTGTCGATCGTCGACGGCGCGTGAGGCCTGCGCATAGAGAGAAGAACCAACGCGTGAGGGCAAGTGAACTAGAATTTCAAGGAGGTCCCTTCAGGCAGTTTGTTCCTAAAATTATTTCTGACATTTTTTGTGTTGAATTTTTTTTTGTTTCAGGGCCTGCAGAAGAATCTGGACAACATTGTTCCTCGGCCATTCAGGACTCGATTGTGATTTTTTTTCTTGCTGCAATTTCCAGAAACTTTAGGGAGAATAGTGATGATCCTAAAGTGTTAAATTCGCATGTCTCATAATTTATGGACTCAAATAGGTCCGCTCTGGTATATTGACTTAACTCAGTTTAAATTTTAGCATTAGCAGATCATCGTGTGGGATGATCGTTGAGATTGAGGGTTGTCATTGCTTGGCAACCATTGCTTGTACTAGAAAATTTAGGAATTATTTGCCCTATGTTTGAAGAGTTGAACTTTGATTGCAAATTGGTAGTTGATTTTGTGCTTATCTATCATATAGTCACTGTGTGAGACTTGTTGCATGAGAATTTGGAATTTTTGTTTATATACCTTCGTGTTTGCATTAATTATCCAATTAGAACACCTGAACTTGACCCGTTAGAACATTCCCTTGATCTAAAATTGTAAATCTTACGAAACCCTGGGAATCTAGAACGGTGTATATTGCGACTTTAGGATTATTTTGTGTGACCTATTTGTGACTTGATTTGTGTCTTCACATTTTGAAGTTGGAATTTTCAATGGAAAAGGGGATTTTTCAATTTGGCAACAAAAGATGAAGGGTATTTTGGTCCAACAAAAAGTTTCAAAGGCCATAGATGGCGAATTTCATGCAAATTTAACAGAAGCACAAAAAGAAGAGTATGATGAACTTGCATACACTTCAATTATTTTATACCCGTCTGATACTGTTTTGAGAAAAGTAGGAAAACTAGATTCTATAAAACAACTTTAGGAAAAGTTGGAGGACTTATATTTACTTAATCAACTCCTAATAAATTGTACTTGTTTGAACGATTTTTCAACTTCAAAATGGATCCTTCAAAGGATCTTGATGACAATCTGGATGTCTTTAACAAATTAGTTCAAGACATTGTTAATTGTGATGAAAAGGTATCTGAATTGTATAAGGCTATTATCGTGCTTAATTCCATGCCTGATTCATATAGGGAAGTTAAGAATGCATTAAGTACGGTAGGGACACCTTAACACTCGAGATTGTCATAGACTCGCCTAGGAGTAAGGAGATAGAGATTAAGGTTGAAAAAGAGGATAAGAGGAGTGGCGAGTTACATATGAT